ATTTACACAATACATTTATATTTACACATATATTCACAATATTGATTTATGAAGCACAATACCTACTTTTTTTTACAGTGAATATATTTTACAGCTTTAAATTATATATCATATTTTTATAAATTTATAAAATGGTATATAAATTGTATATTTATTTTTATATAACTTCAGCAACATTCAACTATGAACCATCATTTTAATATAATAATTATTATAAAAATGTGTGTGTGTGTGTGTATATATATATATATATATATATATATATATATATATATACACACACTTTGTATTAGTTCGTTTATGCAGAGACACAGGAATGAGAGAGGGGCGGGGCTCTGGCAGAAGGGGGCAGAGTGAAGGGGGAGGGGTCAGTGCTTCCAGAGCAGCTTGTTAAAATGAGAAGGATTGAATTTTTAAAAAAGGGGCAAAATGTGCAGAGTGGACCCAGATGAACCTCATTTATCAGTATGATTCTGTGTTATTGAAATTCAAGACCTCATACTTATTACTTGCTTTTAAAACAGTTTAGGAAAGCATCACAGACTTTAGTTTAGTTTAGTTTGGTGTTTGGTTTGATATGGAATTTTGAAATAAAAATATTTTATAAAATAAAATATAATATTTATTAACTTATAACCAAAGTAAAATTACTCACTTCTGTGAGATACTGTATATACTGTGTGTATATGTATATATATATATACTGTATATATATGCAATTTTTAAATAAAAATATTGTATGAAATAAAATATAATATTTATTAAATAAAGTAAAATATAGTTATATTTATTTGGGATTTTGAAAATGAAATATTGTATAAAATAATATATTTGTTCAGTTAAAATGTAGTAAAATGTAGTTATTTATAGCTATTTATTGGGATTTTGAAATTAAAATATTGTATAAAATAAAATATTATATTATTAACTTAAAAAAAGTAAAATGTGGTTATTTATATTTGGAATTTTGAAATAAACATTTTCTAAAATATAATATTAAATTCATTACCTTAAAAACAAATAAAAATATAGTTATTTATATTTATTTGAAAGTTTGAAATAAAATTATTTTATATCATAACATATACTGTATTTATTAATTAAAAATAAAGACAAAAAATCTAGTTATTTATTTTATATGTAGTATGCAAGTATATTAGCAAAGGTTTATAATGAAGAAAGGGCCTAATAAAATGTATCTGTTTATTGGGTTTTATCCCATTTCCTAACCAGTCACAACAGAACAGCACATTTTAGCTGGAGTCAGTGGACCTTTTGCTCCTCCCACATGAAAGAGAAATTTAGCACAGGAAACAGAAAGAAACCGGCCATCATGTGATGAAATTTGACAGCTGGGTATTATAACTTTGATAGAGCAGAACCATTTAAAGGCGATAGCTGACATTTCTTCCTTCTTAAACTCAAGCATAACATCAGTGGGTTTTTTTTCTTTCTTCTCCATTTTCTCTCTCTTCATGTTTGTAAAATCAGGTGATTTCATTAATGCGTGCCAGTCAATCTTAATAAGCCAGAGGAAAGAAGGGGGGGGGATGGGGGGCTCTTATTGAGTGACCTACAAAATAAGCATGTTGCTGGTGGGCTCTGTCCGTAGCCCCACTCCAGCGAGCTGGGCCTCATTTACAATGCAAAACCTCCTTCTGTAATCCAAGTGTCCTTTCTGCAATCACAGAGCATAATCTGCTGCTCTCTTGTTACAGACAACACTTTACTGCACCGGCCATCACACAATGAATATTAGAGCCGATATTATTTTCTCAGTGCATTGTTCGCCCATCTTCACATCGCAGAGATTAAGGCAGGACGAGTGCTTTGTGCAGCCACTTGTGCTGAAAAGTGGCCTCATTCTAATACTGTTAAAATAGTCACCGGGGCCGTGTGCGTGAATTATAATCGACACAAAAGGTTTGTCCGCTCTGGCATGTGAAAGAGAGATAGCTTTACATTTCATCTTTGCATGGAAATAGTTTTTTAAGCATTTATTGTACTGTGTTCACTTGCTGGGAGGCTGTCATCTATTTTTTTTTTTACTTTAAAATCAAAATGAAAATCAAAAATTGACACTATTTACTTTATTAATATGCATTCGTAGTCATATTGCAAATAATTTATTAGCTGATGTTTGATCCTTTTGTGATAATTGATATGACTGCTACTGCTGCTAATAAATTATTTGTATTTTTTTTCAGATATTATTAGTGTTTTTGTTGTTGTTGTTGTTGTTGTTGTTGTTGTTGTTTGTAAATAAAAATTCAAATATTATTAGTGTTTTTGTTATTGTTGTTGAAAGCATTGTAGAAAATGAATGTGATTTGTTTGTGTATTTACCATAATTTAATTCAATATATTCAGTATTTTTTCATGTTTTTTTAATTGTAGAAAATAAATGTGATTTTTTTTCTGTGTGTGTATGTGTGTGTATTTACCATCATTTAATTCAATATTTTCAATATTTTTTCCTTTTTTTTTTTAAACATTTGCAGAAAATAAATGCGGAATTTGTTTATTTACCATCATTTAATTCAGTATATTCAATATGTTTTATATATTTATTTTTTAACAAAAGGAACACTAAAATATTAGATTTTTTTACTAGAGAGAGAGTAATTTTTTTTTATTATTATTATTATTATTAATATTGTAGAAAATGAATATGCAGTTTTTGTGTATTGATCATCATTAAATATATGACCTAATCCAAGGGTGTCCAAACTCGGTCCTGAAGGGCCACTGTCCTGCAGAATTTAGCTTCACTTTGTCTCAACACCTGCCTGGAAGTTTCTAGTATGCCTAGTAAGACCTTGATTAGCTGGTTCAGGTGTGTTTAATTGGAGCCAAACTCTGCAGGACAGTGGCCCTTCAGGACCGAGTTTGGACACACCTGACCTAATCTGCAAATGTGATTTTCTTTCTTTTTATGTGAATGGCTTGTTTCTTCTTTTTGTTGGGATTGGACTCCAGTTGTCTGTAAGCCGGTTGAAAACCTCAACCCCATCTCTTTAGTTCTTCAAAAAGAATCCTCAATTCTTTGGTCTACTGGATATAGGTGGAATGTCAGTCTTCCAGAGAAAGATCCCGAAAGTCTTACTTGGATTGTGCCTGCAGCTTTTTGATGCCCATGGACAAAAAAAAGTCAGATGTGCTTTTGGGTTTCTAGTGTGAGAGGCCAAACAGTAAGAACTAGACAAAGAGAGCTGGAGAAACAGACAGACAGCTGGTGGTCCTGTTGCACAGTTGTTTCTGTGATTTTTGCTGTTTGTTTTACAGTAAGAGTTCAGTAAAATGTTCTATTTAAACTGTAGAGGTACATATACATGTATATGCATGTATACATGCAAACTGCAGCATTAGTAAATTCCAACAGCTTGATTGTTTTATTATATTATTTTTATACCACTTTCTTTAAAAACAAAGGTTCCAAAAGGTTTTTTTGTTTGTTTGTTTGTTTTTGCATCTATGCTATAAAAGAACCAGTTCTTAAAAGCACCATTTTTATATATCTAAAGAATCTTTTTCCACTATATAGAAGCTTTTGTGGAATTGAAAGTTTCCATGGATGTTAGAGGCTCTTCATGGAATCATCAGTGTCAATAAAGAACCTTTATTTTTAAGTCTGAGTTTGTGATAAACATATACTCTTACACACATTTCCAGAAACAGGTGTTTAAATCACTGTACATTTTCTTGCCTGTTGATAACTGTACACCTTCAAAACTGTTCTTGCATAGCCATTTTGTTTCTTCATGCATCACTCTCTGACCATCAGACAGCAGAATGCTGCTTTGGCAGTACTATCTTAAATCTGACTTGAACAACTAAAACACAGCATTATTCTGTTGTACAGTTCTAGCATTGTGGCGAAATAACCCAAGCCCATGTCTCTGTCAGTGGCCCGTCTCTTAATTCATTGTTGCTGCTTGGAATAATAAACACTAAATTGCTTTGAGGGATAGGACATTAAAGGGATTATTCTCATGTAATCTGCGGGTCCCTGTAGACGTGGACCTGATCACAGAACAGCACAGAGCAGCGTTACTCAAAACACAACTATGGCATGTACACCACAGCGCCACAGCTACTTTAACCGCCTGTTGTTGTGTTTTGTTTTTTTCTTGTCATCCCCAGTTAGCAACAGTAAATCCGCCCCCTCCCCCCGCTTATTTAAAGCATGTTTAAAGGTTAGACAAGCATACGCTAATTATTTGATTATTTGGACGAGCTCTCTCTCCCCTAAAGAGCAGAAAGTTGTGTCTCGGTGAGCTGGGAAGAGGCAGAGGAAACCTCTGGAGGGAGGATTGAAGTCAAAATAAAAAGAGCACAAGTGCTTTTAACTGCGCTACAGTAACAGAAAAGCACATTAAGCTCACTATGAAAGAGAGCCGGGTAATACTTCATACTAACCTTCATGAATAAGTAATTAAAAGACTTTATATAATGCTAAACAGATCATATATGAATTAAAGTTTTGTGACATTTTTGTGCGTGTATGTGAGTGTATATGAGTGTATATGAAATAACGATCAGTTGAGAAATATATTATGTGATAGCTGTTTCTGAAGCTCAACTGTTGGAATATATATATATATATATATATATATATATATATGTGATGGTATTATATTTTTTTATTGCTTTCATTTGTATATTTTAATTTTTCGTTTTAATTTTAATTTGAGCAATTTTATGTGCTTTTTTTGTTTGTTTTAGGGGTTTATTAATTTATTTATTTATTGTTTGTAGCTGTAGTACTTCAACCTAAAATGATTTCAGTTAGTTGCCAAGGCATCATTTCTCATTTTTATATAAATGTTTAACCTTAAGCTTTTCATCTAATACTTATATTTTGTTTTATTTTAGCTTTATTTAAATGAAATGTATTTTAATTTAGTAGTTTAAATGTTAGTTTTAGTTAACAATAACAGCACTGTTTCATGTTCTTTTTAGCTAATGTGTCTCTCTGGCTGTTGTTTGTGCTGTTGCAGGTAGAGCTGGCGGGCAGCAGTGTGTTTGATTACGTTCACCCGGGCGATCATGTGGAGATGGCCGAGCAGCTGGGCATGAAGCTTCCACCGGGCAGAGGGCTGCTGTCTCAGGGCGGCGGGGCCGAGGACGGGGCCAGCTCTGCCTCTTCTTCCTCTCACTCTGAGACACCTGAGCCAGGTAAGATCATGTGACTATGAGCAGCCTTGTTGGTCAGGTTAGAACATGAGGGTTTAAAGTTTAGACATCATAGACTTGGCACTGTGTGCGTGCAACCGGCAACCTTCGGTTTGTGTTTTGTGTACTAATCTCTCTAGTTTGGTTTTGCTGTTTTGGCCCTTTTAGATGTTTAATTTTAGATTATTTTAGTTTAGTCTAATTTAGTTTAGTTTATTCCTGTTTTAAAAACATTGTTTTTTTATAGATTAATGTTATTTGGTTATTTTATAATTTTAATATTTAATTTTGTTTTGGCCATTTAAGATTTTTTATTTTTTTTTTTAATACTTAATTCTGGAATACTTCATTCTGATTCACTCAATGGTGAATAATTCTGCTTCACGTCGGAGTCCTTGTCATTGGCTTATTACCGACTGTTAAAGGGATAGGTCACCCAAAAATGAAAATGTGATGTTTATCTGCTTACCCCCAGGGCATCCGAAATGTAGGTGACTTTGTTTCTTCAGTAGAACACAAACGGAGATTTTTAACTCAAACCGTTGCAGTCTGTCAGTCTTATAATGGAAGTGAATGGGAATCATGGCTTTGAGAGTAAAAAAAAACATACACAAACAAAACCAAATTAAACCCTGCGGCTCGTGATGATACATTGATGTGTAAAGACACGAAACGATCGGTCTGTGAAAGAAACTGAACAGTATTTATATCGTTTTTTACCTCTGATGCACTGCAGTGTCTGAACTGTCCTGAGCGCAGGGTTTAATTTGGTTTTGCTTGTGTATATTTTTTTTTACTCTCAAAGCCGTGATTCCCATTCACTTCCATTATAAGACTAACAGACTGCAACGGTTTGAGTTAAAAGTCTTCGTTTGTGTTCTACTGAAGAAACAAAGTCACCTACATCTTGGATGCCCTGGGGGTAAGCAGATAAACATCAAATTTTCATTTTTGGGTGAACTATCCCTTTAATACCGACCTCTTTGGCCCTAAAATGTGTATTTTTTCCCCAAGACCTCTACTTTAATGTCTGGATTCTGTGATTTGTCAGTTATTTCTACATTATTGTAAATCATGGTTTTTAAAATAAACAGATGCATAATTTCAGTTTAAATATAAAAAGAAACATTTGCAATTCATTTGGGACACTGTTGCTTTGAGCGCAGTTATGCTTTCATTCAATGATCTTGAAGCTCCAAATTCAGGCTGTATTATTTGTTTTGTGTGTTCTTTATTTAGTTATTTATTTCTTTGCTTGTCTGTTTATTTATTTATACCCAAAGCCATGTTGCTTTCTGAGGTCTTTGATATAGATACGTTGCACCAAGTGGTCAATATGATGCTCAGACACTGTGAGTGGACCTCAGGTTGCCAAAAGTGTGTGTGCGTGTGTGTGTGTGTGTGTGTGTGTGTGTGTGTTTATATAGCATGTATACGCATGTATAAGCATTATTTTGTTATTGTAATGGCAGGAAGCAAATTTTTTTCTCACCTGAACATTTTCACAATGCTGTAGTTCAATTTTCACAATGTATCATGTGATGTGTGTGTGTGTGTGTGTCTGTGTGTGTTAATGGCATGTGTGACATGATATGCCTGATGAGTGTCTTCCGCTAGGCCCTGAACTCTCGATGGGCGGCCCGTGTGGCGGCAGCACTGTAACACAGGCTTACCCTGCTCCCGAATTTAATTAGAGGAATTGTATAGCAGGGATGAAAAGAGGTGACATTCCTCATTGGAATTCTTTTCAGGGCTCTTATAGACTTTGCCTTCCAAATGTTCCCATTTTCATTGTGTTGTACTGATGATAATTTAAGTATTAGGGGAAAATCCATTTATAAATTAAACAAAATGACTTGATATCCATCAGTCCCCGAGTTCATCAAGCTGTTCAAACATGAGGGAGATTGGCTGGTCGGCCCGGGTCTTCCGAGAGCTTCAGTAATTAGATCTGCCAAGGATTTATTCTTTGCTGATTGGAGCTTTAAATTAATTGAAGTTCCACATTTGTGGTTTTGTCCTTTTCGTGGCGTTTTCTTTTGCTTTCTTTTTTTTCTAGCCAGGCAGAAATTTCATACTGGCAGACTCGAGGTGTGTGTGTGTTTAAGTGTTAATATTCTTGGTGAGAGTGAGTGAGAGGGTCTTTAATGGTTAGAGGGTTGGTCTGAGGTTGAGATTTATTTGTGTATACACAGAATCATTAAAGATGTGCTTTACAATCAGAAAAAGGGCACCACGGTCTGTCTTTTAACACCAGAGCTTCATTTATAAATTATGAGGACTGGAGACACATACTGTACAAAAAGTTTGTGGGGTATTTAATTTATAAGGATAAAAGTGTGTTTTAAAGTTGGGCAGCATGATGCCATACCTAGACATCATCTTCATTGTTAGCTTGCTGGGATAGATTTGTTGCTTTCATTTTTTTTTTTGCATTGTATGGAGCCCCTTAAGGGACATGGTGGTGGTTTTAAAAAAAAAATTAGATGCAAGGAAAAATTGCATTTTAATGTTTTTGCATTTACTCGTAAAACTTTTGTTTTTCTCGCAAAACTATCTTTGTGATGGAAGTAATATGAGGTGGGAGGAAAAAGTACTTTTGCTAGAGAACACAAATGTCAGTGAGAGAATATAAATGTTTTTTGAGAGAGTGCAATTTGCAAGAGAATTCAATAGTTTTGTGAGAGAACGCAAATTTTGCTGGAGGATGCAAAGTTTTTTGAGGGAACTCAATACTTTTGCGAGATAAAAAATATATTGCAAGCAAATGCAAATGTTTTGTAAGGGATCGTAACGTTTATTGGGGGAATGCACTACTTTTTTGAGAAAATGCAAGTGTTTTGTGCAACCCTCTACGTTGTGAGTAAATCACTCGCATGTGCGACTAAATGATGTCTAATATTAGCCAATGGCTAATAAATTCTCAGATTTTACTCACCAGTGTGTGAGTTGGAGGCTATAAGTTTAGCACAGGTATATTTTCACTTGCCGAACACACTGACTGAGCGCTTCAGAGTTTCTGTAGCTAAGTCCCAAATGACACACTATGCACTCATACACTATGTACTTATGCACTATGTACTCAACCATGTAGTGTATGAATTATATAAAGTTATTTTGTCATTCATAATCGGAGTCTGATAGCCCCTCCCCCTTCGGTACGTAATTAAAGCTGCGACAGTTGAGTACATGAAGTGTCCAACATTCCACACTTTTTTTTTCGGTTATTTAAGTGCATCATCCGGGTATTTAAAGTGCACTTTTTCTTTTTGGAATTTTCAGTGTGAATGCACTCTTCACACTATTTATACTACAAAACGTCATAGAATAGTGCATAAGTACGCGATTTGGGACACACCTACTCTCCGTCAAACGATCTGTGCTTTTTTTCAGTTCATCTCAGTGGATGCGCAGCGCTCCTGTATTTGACGTACCGTGAACTCTAGTGTAACAGCGCGTGACTCGCCGTCGCTTTGGTGAGAGCAGAGAGAGCGAGATAGTCTTACATACTATGCAGAATTGACGCGCTACATGTAAACGATATTCTTTGTTGTATTTTCCTGTCAAAATAACAGAGTTCCTTTGGATTTTTTCAGCTTTTAAGAACTGTCGGGATTTCCGGTAGCGGGCGGAACTAATGCGCAAACAGCAATCATCTTATCAGTATTACTGTTAGTTTTTTCCCATTTTTTTTTACAGAAACACTGAATGACCAAAACAGCACCACCACCAGTCCTAAATTCAGTTAAAATGTCTATGCATTCATACATGGTTACCAAATTTTTATTCTAATTACTACATTTCTATCATTAAATAATACTTGATTATCATAATATCATATTATAATGCTTGACTGACTGATGTTAAGAGTGTACTTTCAGATATTTAAAAAGCTGTTCCATTTTACAAACATATACAGTATTATACAGTAGGGCTGGGCGGTATATCGAGTTTGTACGATATATCGATATTTTCTTTTCCTAGCCAATGGCAATTCAATTGCCAAGGCGTCCGTAGAGGGTTGTTTGTGAGAGAATTTAAATGTTTTGTGAGCGAACGCAAAGTTTTTCTGGAGAACGCAAATGTTTTGGGAGAGAACACAATATTTATTGGGGTAACGCAGTAGTTTAGTGAAAGGGCACAAAAGCATTGAAATATAATTTTTCCTCCCATCTCATATTTTTTTCCCATCACCATGTCCCCTCAGGGACTCCATAGCATTGAGATTTGCTTGTAGTGTAACATTATATTACTAGCGAAGATGCTTTTCTTTGGCATGAATTACAAAAACGGTGAAAAATCTCTCCAAGACTTGGAGACTAAGACTTGGCTGGTTAGCATGGGACAATTCACCTCTGCTGGTTGACATGGCAACTACATCATCTAGAGACAAAAACATTTTTTAATTAACATTTTTTGTTGTTGTTGCAAACAATTTGTTATATTATTGTAAATATTTTGCCAGTGACCGTTCTTTCTGCTTCTTGAGTTTTATATTTACCTGTGTGCTGGCTTTGGCGTCACATCTGTGTGCCAGCCGCGCTTCTGTCATTAAGATGAATGGGAATGCTAATAGTTATCTTTCTCCAGGTATTATAGTCCGCCTTGGGACACAAAATCTCCCTCTTGTGCTCTATTTTTCTTTCTATCTGAATGAACGGCATGCTGAGCGGTGTTTAAGGTGGAGTCAAGCGTTTCACCTCCTGTCACCTCCCTCATATGTGTGTGTGTCCTGCCTCTACACTCCTTTTTTCCTCCTCTTTCTGCCTATGATGTCACTTTTTTCATCCGCTCAACCTGCAGAGTAAATTGTGTTGTCAACAGCCTATTTTAAATATCTGGCAGTGCGGAGGGGAGAGCGTGTTTCCCCCTCATCGCTGGCTCCATCTCTCTCTCTCTCTCTCTCTCTCTCTCTCTCTCTCTCAAGGGCATGACACACCGGCAATAAAGCGATAAACACGGCGGTATTTTTCTTGAAGATCGTAATCTTGCTGTTTGTCAAC